AAGAACAATTAAAAAAAAAATTAATATCAATAAAAAAAAATTTAAAAAACAAACAAGGAAGAGCTAAGTTCGGGAGCAACCGAAAATTTTATAATCTTGCAACTTGCACGAATCAAAGCCAGGGAAATACCTTAAGGTGTAAAACCGACGAAACTTTCCCAACTCACCTTTACAATTACGCAATGCCAATATCTGCTGTGTTAGCAACTCCAAGGCTAAACCGATGAAGTCATCTTTATTCTGCGGCGTACAGTCCACAAGTTGAAGTATAGCATAAGCTAAGGCGCTAGTGAGCGGCAGACAGTGTATACGCCGACTTATATGCAAAACACCGTAAACTCTTTCCAGTTGTAGGGCTGCACATAAATCTCCCACTTCGCTAACAATGAAACGCGGCACATTTACCGTCGCCTGACTACGATCCATTATGCACTCAATGCCGCGATCGAGCAGCTGCAAACGTTGTGTTAGCGGCACCAATTCACTGATCGCGCCAACTTGCAGACGAAACTTGTGGCAGAGTACAAAACGCTGTTGTACGGCGCGCAGACGCTTCTCAAAGCTGCGACAATCGGCATGTGGCACAATCAATTGGAAGAATTCAATTAAATCCTTTTTCTTCTCTGCGTCCTCATCATCTATGGGCGCAGTGGGGTTCTCAAGCATGCTCTATAATTGAATACCAAATATAAAATAAAATGAAATATGAATAAAGTTTCGCAGATACACAACATGTTATCACACTAACCGCTAAAATATCAATGACTTGCATGCAGGCTTTGCTGTGTTTTTCAATACTTAGTGATTTGAAAAATTCGTAGGCGCGATCAAGTTTCTTTTTGCGCACTAATTGATAACAACACATGAAATTGGCAAATGTGGCATTCTCCGGCGATGCCTGCGTAAGTACACGTATGTCATCCAACATTTCGGGGAATTCCATCTTAATTACACGTTGCACAAAAAGCTCCATATTTGACTCTATATCACTGTCCGCTGGCCAGCCATATTTTACTTTCATTATTTTTATAACTTGAAATTCATATTCAATATTTATTTTAGTAGCAATTGGGTGTGTAGAATAGCGAAATTTTATAAGAGGATTTACAACCTCCGACCATGGCACTGGCGCGCTCTAAATGATTAAAAAAAGTATAAAATAAAGTGTGGTTTCTACAAAACGTCTCCTACATACTTTCAATACAAGTAAAGCGCACTCCATTCTATCATCCTCGTTGTGTAGGAGTTCAATGCACGCCACCGACCGCTCAAGCCAGCTGCTCAGGGAGTTACGATTGGCCACCAACAGTGCGATGTACTGACGTATGGCCTCCACTGGAGTTTTACCTTTCTCTTGAAATATGGGATAGAGAAAATCATTAACCAGACTTTTCAAATCATCCAAATGCACGCGTTGTAGTATAAATAGTGCTGCTTCATCCACTGAGTCTTTTAAATAATTATCCAGCGTAAACATTAAATTATAGCGCTTCTTCAACACCGACAAATCCTCCAATGCATTCACTAAGTCGCGAAATTTAATAATATTGTGTTCGTGTTGACGTCGTACGTCACTAGGAGCCAGAGTAGAGTTAGTGAGGGCGAGAAAGTTTAAGAAGTTATTAATACAGTTGTTGCAAATCAAATATTTATAATTCAGCTTAGTTGCCTACCCTACCAGTGCATGAATTCAATTTCTTCGAATATCTTCGCCACTTTGCTGGCAAATTCCAAACCAATCTCTGGCCAATGGTCCGAATATTGTAATGTACGCGTCTTTTGTATACACCATTCGGCAATGTATGGTGTCAATTTCGGATGTGTATTGCTGACGGTAGGCACGAATTGGCGCAGCCATTGCAACACGTGAAATGGTTCTGTGTGATTCGGTATAAGACTGAGTAGTTGTCGTAATTCCGATTCCTTTAAAAACTTCAAAGCGCTGGCATGTCGTTTGTAAATCAAACATGCCGCTGGCATATCGGTTTTAAATAATGCTATAATCATTTTAGCGAGATTTGCTTCATATACGAATTTTGACCATTCCGAATTGACCTCATAGGGATCCAGAATTGTGAGCGTTTCCAAACGTCGCAACTGCTCGTGTATTTCTAACCAATCCCTTTCATCATTCTAAAGATGGAATAAAAATGTTATAACAAAAATTTATTTTTGCATTGGTTTTACTTACTTCGTCCAAATGTTTCAGAATTTCCAACAAATAACGCTCCAAAGTTCGGCGAGAAGGCATATTAATCATGCGATTGTTTTTAAAAAATTCTTTGTTTTCAATATGTTTTAGCACGTCCAGCAGATCTTTGAAATTTTGTTCTAGTAATTCAGGGTTATTCTATAATAAAAGTTAAAAGTAAATTTAAAGCCCTTAAAACAATCTTACAACTATGACTACTTACATCGCCGAAGGACGTAATCGTCAGTAGTATACGTTTTGCTTTTGCCTCATAAAGCGGTTGTAAACACAGTTCAAACTGCTTGCCGAAACTCTGCAAAATTATGTACAAGTTATATTTTGTTTATTGTTAATATGTTTTTTTTTCTTTTTTTCATTACCTCAGCTTCATCTAAAAGCCCCTTTGATAGAAGTTTCCTAAAACGTTCACTAGGGTGTGTTTCTGACACCAAAACCATTTCAATCTCTTTTGGTATATTATCTGCATTTACCTCTTTACCACTGAGATAGTATAAATTAGCGGAAGATTTCGGCTGTTGCACAAGCCATGCGTGTTCTGGTACTTCCAGCTCATTGTTGCATTTAAAAGCTGGTTAAAAATTATTAAATATTTTGTAAGAACCAAAAAAAAATATGTTATATATAATTTATAAATGAAATATAAATGTGTTAAATATAATTTTAAAATCATTAAATATTTTGTAAAAACTATAAAATATGTTATATAATAATTTTTATTTACATGGATACTCCAAAAACTTAATACAGCGTTCATGTGTTCTCTCTGTCGACTTGACCAGCACGAGCAATTCAATATTGTCATCACTGCATTCCATAATGACAAGTTCATCGATAAGCAGTTCGTTATCATTTTGCATTTTAGGAAAGTGTAACATTTTTGTAATGTCGCAGAACTCTATTAAATGACCAGAGTTCGTTAAAAGTAAACTGAAAAGAAGACAAATATTATATGAATATATTTTTTCAAATACCTGCATGTTACAAATACTCACATATAATTATCTAAATTGAATAAACGTTTCACACCACTAAAACTTTCAGGCAAACTAATTTTGGAAATATTACCATTGTGTCTGCAGAAAACTTCCTTATGTGTGCCTGCTATAAACAATAAAGATTGTTCAACAGCTGTGTTGAAACTGCTCTGCGCTACCAATAGCGTTGCTTCTAAATTTTTTAAGCCAGGCTCATGGCTAATGATCTTTGTTATAGTCACTGTTTCGAACATGCTCTGATTAAAAGTAATCGTGTCATTTTCTCTCAAAGTAATATTTGGGTTTGCTTCTAATGGGGATTCGTCGATCTCACTGAGCCTAGAAAATGTAGTATATTGTAGTTACACTATTCTTTCAAAAAAAAACAAATATGAATTTACTTACTGATAAACACTTCCGTTAGTACAACTTATGTAAAACTTGCCGTTCAGTTGTTGTATACCCGCGAAAGTGCGTCCCGTTAAATGTATGTCCTCTGAGTTAACGGTTAAATTAAATAGCAGCAAACCTTTCGCAAATATTCCATGTATCTCGCCATTCTGCAGACCGACAACAATTAAATATCCTGTTTTGGATATTGCCACTGCATCAATGTGATCATCGAAACAAAGAAAACTGCATTTGGCAACCAATTCGTCTTCGAGCAGTATTAAGCTTCTATCCACGGAGATTACGACCTTTTTATTTTGCAATGAGGCAATTACTTCTGGATATTCTTTTACCTAACAACAAAAGTATTAGCAAAATATAAGTTTGCGACATAGATATTTGTTTTTTTTTTCACCTCCTCGGTACTTTGTATCTTAAACAGACCACGAGATGAAAATGCATTGGAAATGGTTTCATCTTCAATTTGTGATTGCTCAAAAATAGACCACATTTCGGATATTTGTAAATAAATATAGTTATGGAAAAAATAAGCTCCTTTAAAATTTCGCGACGCGCGTTTCTTTACTTTTGAACTTTTTCTATTGTGAATAGACTTTTATATGCTTGAAGGCGACATCTACTGCCTATTGGAAACAATATTTCTTGAAAATTTGGCAGGAGCTCCATAACTTGCGTATGAACACCACTTCTATGTGTAATTCCCTAGGGTCAATTGTCAGTTGTGCGATTGTGACGCCTGGAACACATAGAGGGCGTCAGACTGCAGGCAACAACTGTCAAATATATAAATACACACGTTCTTATGGACGCAGTTATGTAGTTGTACAGCTGCCTCAATAACTGTGTCCTTAAAACCGTGTGCATTTTAATATTTGACAGATGTCGCCTGCAGTCTGTCGCGTTCTATGTGTTCTCAGCGTGTTTTTTAATATTTGTAATTTTCCTTAAATGAATGCAGAATATCTCAATCATACTTATTATTATACTTGCTTTATAAACTTTTTATATCAGACTACTGCTTAATTTGGAGTTTTAACACAATTTTACAATAATTCGAGTTTGTTTCATGAAAATTAAAGTTTGACAATGTCATCTTCTACGCGTATCGGTATCCAAGTTCTAATATTTCACAGATTGCGGGCAGAAAACGTATGTATATAATATCGTAAATTATTAAACGTTTATAAATTTTTTTCTTGTAATTTTTCTGGTTGTTTAAGAAGATAAACCTTTCTAACAACTCTGGCGTGTAACAGCTGTATTTGGGTATTGCCATGTTTCATAAATCTACGTCATCACAAAATCTCATATGAGCAAGTCTCAGCCAATGACAAAGCGACAAGTGAGTGTCAAAAAATATTCTCATTACTTTAATTTCACCGGTTAAGCATTTATGAGCATTGAAATAAGATTTCCAAACAAAACTTTTCGTTTTTAATAAAACTGCAACTTAAAGAATAAAGTGGAAATTACAATTTTAGTGAATTAATTGTAAGTAGATAGTTATAATTCATTTAACTTGAGTTATTTGTATGCTTCAGTACTGATAAGCGGAAAATAAAAAAAAACCAAAAAGTATAAAAAGAGTGTCACGCACTTTTCTAGAATAGAAACGCTTACGTAGCGAGTAAACTGGTGGAATTTATAAACTATCTGTTGCCCTACAGTCGTTCAAACACATTGCATTTGCTATCCTTTCAGAATTTTCAAAAAATAAAGATTCTATTAAGTAGTGAGCCAATATGCGTTCCCTTTTACTGGTAATGGCGTTTGCCTTTGTACTAATTCATAGCAGCATAGCTTTGAAGGAAGACGAATGTGAAGGTAAGTTCTTTTGCGGGGGTGGTATGCCAATTGGCCATATTCTATTTAGGCCAATTCAAATATTTTTCTGTATGTACATATGTTTTAAATTGGTATTTTCAGTTTGTGTGAAGACAGTCAAACGTTTTGCTGATACATTGAATGATGACATAAAGAAGGATCATAAAAAAATTGAAGCTGAATTCAAAAGTTTCTGCAAAAAGCAAAAGAATAAGGAGCACAGATTTGTAAGTAAAACGAACTTACCATTTTGTGGGCGTTTACATTATATGCTTATTGTTATAGTGTTACTATCTGGGTGGTCTGGAAGAATCAGCGACTGGCATTTTGAATGAACTCAGCAAGCCATTGAGCTGGTCCATGCCTGCCGATAAGATCTGTGAGAAACTTAAGAAGAAGGATGCTCAGATCTGTGATTTACGTTATGGTAAGTCATAATCAATGAAAATAATGCCAACATGTACTTTCAAATATTGTAAATTTGTCCTTTAAGGATTATAAGATTCTTATTTTTTGCACAAACATATAGTGTTTTAATATATATACTATAAATGCTGTAAGTCGTTTGTATACCACTACAACAACAACTGCTATCGCAATAGTGATGTAAATAATGTTTTGGTAATAGAAACAACCATTTTTGTTTTAATTGGTGTTTAATCCGGATTTAATTGTTGTTGGTGCGCGCGGCACTTGTTTCGTGTGGTTGTTGTTGTAGCGGCAGAATTCTGCCGAGTAGAAAGTCCTTGGCCGGATAAAAATTCGGGTGCGTTCCGGTTTTCGTAGACCTGACTGTCGTGGGAACGTTCCGTCATTTAGCTCGGTTTATTGTTCAAGACAACGCTATAATCTCCGAAGAAAATATTCAGATTGGACCCCTATGGCGTATAGTTAGCATATTAGCACATAGTTCAAGTTCATATATGGAATCTTTGGTATCAGGAAAGGGTATTATAGTTTCGGCATAACCGAGTGTAACGTTATTTCTTGCTTTTTAAATCAATTTGAAAACTTTTTAGTAAGGCAAGACTCAAAGGGTTATTTAATATAAAAACGACAATAGTTGCTGATAACTAAATCTTTTCGCGATTGTTGCGAATATACCTGATATTTTCAAATAAATATCAAATATGTAAAAAATAAAATTGAAACATATTTTAAAATTTTTTTAAATTACTTCTTTTTTAATTTTACTTGCAGAAAAACAAATTGACTTGAACAATGTTGATCTGAAAAAATTGAAGGTTCGTGACCTGAAGAAAATTCTCAACGACTGGGATGAAGGCTGCGAAGGTTGCATTGAAAAAACTGACTTTATCAAGAGAATAGAAGAACTGAAACCAAAATATGCGCACAATGAGTTATAAAAAACAATGCCTGATTACCAATTTAATTTATATGCGAATACTTAATTCTACTCACATGAATATTTGTCATTATTTCAATGCTTTTCAATTTTTTTTTAGAAGAATTTAGTACAAAAATCTATGATTTTTGCTTTATAAGAGTTGATAATGTGAAAAGAAGTATATATCTGTAGACAGTATATGAAATAAAACACAGAAACCAACTTAAGACCGATGTTTTGTTAAAAATTGTTATTTTTCTTTATTCGATACAACAATCACACAAACAGTAAACATTTTGTTGTTTAATGTACATTTCATATTAATGCGTGTACCCATAAATATTAACAAATACATACATAGTATTTTTATATTTTGAAATTTTTGTTAATTGAAAAAAATTTGCACTAATTCCAGTAAATTCATACGATGAGCAAAGAGTGTGAAGAACAACACATTGTGGAGGCAAGTACGGTGAGTTTGGTTGGTAGATAGATAGTGAAAAAAATGTGATGAATTATAATAAAAATTTATTCTTTTATAAAATTTAAATTAAATTTATAAATAAATTATAATTAGTTTGGTAAATAAATGACGAAGAGTATATAGTTTCTGCTACTTGAAGTGTTGTGCATATTACTTGTCTTGTGCTGATTTTTCAAATGCTGTCGCATACATACTATATAGTACATACGCTCATGGTATGAACATTTAATTTGCACAGTTTGAAAAAAGAAAACAAGTTACTTCACACCTTTTATTTTTCCTTAAATATTTTAATTTCGTTTAATCGCTTTCGTTACTCGCTTAACGGCGGTATAATTGTTTGTTGTAGCGTCCCCTTTCGTTCTCCTGCAACAAAACCACGTATTCACTGTAAACAACGCACCAGCAGTAGGAGAGAATCGCTGTTAAAGAGAGATGAATAAAAATTTAAATTTTCGGAAATTCGTTTAATAAATTGTAATAATTAATTTTGAATCAAAATTAAAATATACCGGCCATAATGCTATTTATATATAGCAAGGTTACCATACGGGAACTTGTTATTATGCCTGATAGCTATATGGCCGATTCTAGTTCTACAGTTGCCTTGGAAAGTAATCAATGCCGAATTTGGTGAAGATATCTCGTGAAATGAAAAAGTTTTCCATACAAGAACTTGATTTTTAACGGACAGTTTGTATAGTCAATATATGCTACAGTGGGCCGATATCGGCGGTTTCGACAAATGAGCGACTTCTTAGAGAGAAAAGAACGATATCTCTCAAACAGACTGACCATTTCACTTATATACAGACAGATGGACAGAATGAGGACATGGCTAAATCCACTCAGCTCGTCAAGCTGATATATTGCATGTTTTATAGGGTGTCCTTCCTGGGTGGGTAAAAATAATAAAAAAAAAAAAATGTTGTAGTTATATTTAAGACTCGACTGTATTAGGGAATGTCGAAATGTATAGCATACTATTAGGCGGCACGAAATTTACATTGAATGGGAACACACGGTTCCCGTTGTTGCTGTTGTAACGGGTACTAATTCAAGTTAGATAAGTTGTCATCGACGTCATCCAACGGTAGCTCCAGGACAGGGTCGGATCAAAGGGGGAAGGGTGTCAGATGGGTAGGGTTAGCAGGGCATGCAAAGAGGTGGTTAGTGTTATGCGGAAACTCATTGTACGCTGAACAAATTTTTGATATTTCAGAGTGTATTCTGGATAAATATGAGTGTAACCTGTAACAGTATTCAGAACGAAGCTGCGCAAGGGTAATTCTCGTTTCTCACGGCAGCTCGAGCTTTTCGCTTCAATGGGTGGTGATTTGATTCCAAGTACGCATTCACTGGGAATGAGTCGGTTAATGGCTCCACTATGAATGCTGGTCAGTGCTTGTTAGTTGCTTGGAAGTTAGTTAGTTGCGTCCAAAGTCTGCTCGACTTAGTTGAGGAATGATATCCACGTAGTTAGGGGGCAAGAGAATTATTCGTATATCATCAAAAACTGGAGAAGAAGTTAGACTGAACGCTTATACCCCTGACCCTTTAACAAACGGTATTACATTTAAGAGATTTCAGGAACTTGTCAATTCGGCATAAAATCAAAACTTGCAATCAGAAACCCTATTTCAACCAATTTACCTAGATTAGATAAAAAAAGAGAATTGTACCGCGACCTAAGGCCTATTATGCCCTCTCCTAAGTCACAACGACTTACTTAGCCCCAGCATATTGATAAATTTTAATATAGTGTTATGTGGATCCAGCGTCACTCCTTTATATTTGCGGAGCAGCCTTCCTTTATGGTAGGGGGATCAACCGCAATTAAAGGTTTCGGTCCCACCATGTTCGTGTATGCTGCAGAGCAGGCGAGCTCATCAGCCAGTTCATTCCCGGCTATACCTTTGTAACCAGGCACCCAGATAAAGTGCACTCGGTTACGATCTGATAGACTGTTCAGTCATTCTGTACACACCTGCACCAATAGCGATTTGAGCTCGTATGTTCCAATTAACCTAACTTTCCGTGACATTATGTGCATTCTATGTTTCACTTACCTGTTGTGAGTAGTCCAACGACCAGCCATAGTATACCAGTCAGCATGTAACCGTCAATGAAGAACTTCACGGCAGTATAAATCACCGATATGAGTAAACCAATGGCTATCATAATGCCCAAAACAACCCATGGCATCATCAAATAGTGATTACGCTGAAAAAAAGCGACGATTATGAATATTTTGTGCAAACTGTTGTACGCCCGTCACTCACCTTCACTACGCCAATAATCATGAGCAATGATATAAGTATTGTCATACATAGATTTATAATTAATATAATCTTAACGGTATTCTTTGGCAGCCAATCGAAGTCTATGGTATTGAAATCTATGCGTAATGTCAAACTTATAACGATCGTTATAATGGATAGTGTGATCGCCAGAAGACCCGATATAATGGAGCCATTTCGTAGAGATTGGCAGAAGCAGCAAGTGTTCGTCAGTGGTTTAGACATATTTGCAAGCTGTAATAGGAAGAAGAACGCAATTAAATGAGGGAAATGGGAAAATAAGCAAAAATATAAATTTGTATTAAAGCAAGTAGGAAGACACGAAGTTCGAGTGTAACCGAAATACCTATACATAGGTGTTGGCAAAGATTTTTATTCGACTAGCTTGGTCGATGTATGTATGTAATATAAAGTCAASTGGAAGTTCGAAAAAAATCTTCATATGAGGCATATGCATGAGGGAAATATTGATCCAGTTCAGCCCAGTTCGGACCCAGGGGTCTATCATTGTAGTATTTCTGACAGATTGACCGATATTTGGCGATTGGATTCATAGCCGAGTTAATAACAGCGCCCCAGTCGCTTTTCTATTTGTTATTTGGCGGAAATTCAAGACACCAAGTGCAACCGGGGTTTTCTCCTCCTGATCTCTCCAAGGGAGTGGAAGTCTTTCTCCGGCACTACCACCGGCAGGTAATGAATCGAAAACCTTCAAAGATGGAGTGTTGTCTTCCATCCGGAAAACCTAACCTAGCCAGCACAGTCGCTATCTTTTGATTCGACTGCGGTACTCGCTGTTGTCAATGCGCAAAGGACCATAAATCTTCCTTGAAATCTTTCCCTCGAACACTCATCAGACGATGTCATTGTCCATGTCTCCGCACCGTATGGGACAAGATGGGGGATTTGTAGAGTTTGGTCTTTGTTCGGCAAGAGAGGACTTCGATTTTTCATACGCCAGCAGATGTAGACTCTTATAGATGCAATATATTGAAGGAGTCGCACGGTTCGTAGAGGTCCTTCACAATCCTGAAGGAGCTAATTTTCGTGCTGTCGAAAGCAGCTTTAAAATCGACGAAGATGTGGTGTGTGTCGAACCTTTATTCATGCGTCTTTTCCCAGATTTGGTTCTTGGTAAATATCTTGTCTTGATTTTCTAGGTCTTTAGACACACTGATAACGTCGGTGGGCTTTAATCTTTCACACAATACGCTCTATAGAACCTTATATGCGATGTTGAGATTGGCTTATCCCACCGTTGTCGCAGATTGTGTGGACAGATTGTTGTCGCAGATTGTGGTCGCAAGTGTGTAGACTGGACAGAGCACACTTAAATTCCAATCGTCGGCCATGCTTTCGTCCGACCGTATTCTACAAAGAAGCTGATGCATGTTCCTTATGAGTTCTTTAGCGCCGTATTTGAATAGCTCGACCGGCAAACCATCGGTTCCCGCTGCTTTGTTGTACTTCAGACGGGTAATTGTTATTCAAACTCTTTCATGGTAAGGCGATGGAACGTTTGCTCCATCGTCATCGATTGGGGAATTGGTTCACCATCTTCTGGAATTGTGCTTTCACTGCCATTCAGCAGGCTGGAGATAATTTTTAGTAAGCTCTGGGCATCGGTTACTAGATCACATACTTGGGTTCTACAAAAGTCTGCTCCGGTCTTGAAACCATTTTTTCCTAGAATTTTCGTGCATTATCCTGTGCGCTTGGTTTAGGATCAGCCACGTAAAAAACACTACCAATGAAAAGAAGACCACCCTAGGCGGCCAAAAAAGTAGATCCCTCACTTACTCAAGAAGCAAGTTTAAAATGCTTAAAAGCAAGCGGATACGTTCAAAATTAAGGAATTGAATTGAAGCGAACAGACTTTGAAAGATTTTCCGATTCAGAAATAATGAAATTTCCAACTAAACACGAGGCATTAATTTCCCTTGTTGTAAGACTACTTCAAAACTGTTAGGAAACCAGCACCTGGAAAGCTTTTTCTCACAAGCCTTATAGCCCAGACCTTGCCCCTTCTGATCGCCATTTTTTCACATCAGAACGGCGTATCAAAAATTGTTTTTTTTTCATTCTTGACATTCTTGACTTTTTTTCATTCAAGACTGACTCTTTTGGAATACCACCCACAAATTGCCAGATAGTTAGGAAGATAATACAGCTTCAGATGGGCGATATTTTGAATAATGCTATCGAAATGTTTTCCTTTATAAACGATACATTTTGGAAAAAAGCAGTTATTAGACCACATCATTGCAAAGTAAAAAAGCTTCGCTAAATTCCGTAAGAATTCTCATAAATGAACTTTTAATTACGGTATAAAGTTTATAGGCATGCGGCTTTGAACTTAAAACAAAATATTTTCCATTTATATTATATTTAATTGCCATAGTGTACACTCACTATAATTATATTTACATATATAAAAGTGGAAGCAATAATGCAAAGGTATATCAGCTTTTATAAATTCCTACATTTCTATTTACAGTTTGCAAGATCTATAAATATCCAAGGAGTTACGTAAGCACAATGAAGAAATCAAAGAAACCCCTAAACGAAAAAAATATTTCATTTCAATTATAAGCAGGTGAACTTGGCTTCATAAGTGAGGTGTGAGGAGTGGAGGATCGTCGTATGCATGAAGTGTGCGCCAGCTATTTCCATCACATATTCTTTTCGTCGAATGATTCATAGATCGTACTTGATTTCGATGCAAATTAACGTGTGCTCACGCGATGACGGAATAACCGTTGCAGGATGCAGATAAAAGCAATAGATAAATAAACAAGAATATGACAAAGTGCAATAACAATTTCTACAATCATTATACTATTTGCACATATTTTTATTGTTCGCACATTATTCGTCAGCTATTAGACAACACAGGCAGAGTTATTAAGTAAATATCACCCAATATACTGTATCCGTTCGTTGAGATCAAATGATAAATAAACATTTAATGACAAAACACCGCTTTGTTAGTTGCTCTTGAATGTACAGTTTTATTGACAGCTTTCAAATTGTTGACTGCAACGTTCAAAATTCGATAAAGGCAACGTTAAATGCACGCTTTCAATAACATGTCATACGCCAGAAGCTGGTCAGCGCATTTTATTACAATAACCGGATAAGTCAGCGGCAGTACATGGTTTCGTCAAATAAGTGGCTTCTTATAGAGAAAAGGATGTGTGAAAATTTTCGGATCGGTATCTCAAAAACCGTGAGGTTAGTTCACGTATATACAGACAGACGTACTCATGCTATATCCATACAGCTCGCCACGCTGATCATTTATTGGTTAGTCGAAAAACTCTTTTCGTATTTCTAATCAAAATTAAACTTATTTTTTTATGTTTATACTAATAAATAAATAAACAAATATACTATATGCCATTTCAAAATATAGCGAATTTCTTCATTATTTTCACTCATTTTTGAACAGCTATAACTTTTTTTCAACGTCCCCGAACTTCCCTTGGTTTTTGGTTAAATCAAGCTTAAAATCTCAGCTTTCCAACACTATATGGTATTAGACAATGTGAGTGGTAGCACTGGAGATATACGACTGCAACGACATCTATTGACAAAATACGAAAATACTTTTTCGACTACCCAATATTTGATCAAATGTACTAACTTTCAATTTTGTAAGTATCAAAAAAAGTGCACAAATTCATCAAGCTATCCGCGTAGTAATACTTTTCGCTCATTTGATATTTATGAGAGACAATAAATTCAAGCTAATCGCGCAACATGCCACATGCCTAGTAGTGCCCAGAGGCGTACGAACATTTCCAAGTACTATTACTTGTATTTGCATACGATCTGATGCATTCCCCTGACGCTTGGTTGTTGGTTATATTATTGACATATAGTAAAATACACGAATGTCAAGCGCTTCAGCGTAAGACTAGCTTCTGTGATGACGAACAATGAAGACTAGCTAAACGCCTGGATAAATGGTTATGTTCACAAGTTTATTTTAATTGCAAAAAAAATTAAAAAAAATATTTTTAAAAAATACAACAAGTAATTGAAAAAACAAAAAAAAGTATTTGCCTGTTCAAATATACTACATATGAATATATGTATGTATTTGTACAAGGCAGTTGACTTTTCAGACGATTTACACTCAAGTGCATGACTTTGAAAGCGATCTAATGCTATGAGAAAGTGAAATACATATATACAATAATATGTATATTGAACACTTACGAACGAATATGTATGTATGTATGTACTTAGCAGAACAGTAAAAATTCCATTTGAATTTTTATTCAATAAATAAAAAATTGTCTTTGCATTATCACTAAACACCAATGGCTGAACTTTTACGTTCGCTGGGTCAAATAGACCACATGATAGAAAAATCTAGAGATTAATGACAAATGTGAATATTTTTGATGAAAATTTTAAATATTATTTGAGTCATACGCGATCGTCGAAGGCTCTAAAAAATTCTGCTGCAGATTTCTTGCCTTCTAGTCAAAACAAATTGTCCATATAACGACCTCTGATAGAAAAAAATTAGAATTGCGACGTTTTTTCAACAAAAGTAGAATATTACCAAAAATTTTGGTAATTTTTTGGGCTGTCAAATCAGATTAAAAACTGATAAGTTATAGTATGGAGGGTACATATGGGTTTTTCAATAAGAACGCTACAAAAGTTTTTACAAAGTTAGAACAAAAACGGTTTGGGATATCAATGAAATTCTTTATTTTTGTAAAAGTACAATCGATGGCATTACCGGTACGTTTGCAGAAGTCCAGACGCTGTACCCAATTTTTGACGGTTTTCAAGCATAAATCAGCCGATACTGCTGTACCTCCACGTTCGATATTCGTACGAAGTTCAGCAATCGTCGCTGGCTTGTTGCCAAAGGCCATAAACTTTACGTAGCTCCACTGAAAATAGTCTAACGATGTCAAATCGCACGACCGAGGCGGCCAATTTACTGGGCCATTTCGTGAGTTAACACGTTCACCAAACTTGGTTTTCAATAAATCGATTGCGACACTGGCTATGTGGCTTGTGGCGCCGTCCCGTTGGAACCGCATATTGTCCAAGTTCATGCCGTCCAATTCGGGCCAAAAATATTCCATGGGAAGAAGTACGGCCAAATGACGCCGTCGGCACCTAAACCGCACCAAACCGTAATTTTTTTCGAGATGCAATGGCGACTTATGAAGGCGTGGATTTCTGACTACCCAATAAAGCATATTTTGCTTATTGACGATGTCAATCAGTCAGATATGAAACTCTCGCTGAAGATGATTTATCGATAAAAATCCCGATTATTTTCCAGTTGTTGCTCAGTGCAATTCACGAACACACGACGAAGCTGGTGGTCAAGCGGCTTCAGGTCTTGTGTCAATTTGACACGGCTTGATCAAGGATGTAGGCTGAGATCTTTTCGCGGAATTCGCCACACCGACGTCATAGAGACAACGCCCAACGCTTGAGAACGACGTGCGGGAATCTGATTTGGGTCTTCCTCAATTGATGCGCTAGTGGCAGCAATATTCTCGTCACTACGGTCACTTCTTTCTTTCACTGACATGAGAATTTTTTGTACTGTGTCTGTGGATTAAAATTTTTCCTCAATGGTTGATCTGACATAACGATTCTGACGATCAAAAATTGGACGTAGCGCTTTTAAAGTTAAGGCCACTGACTCCAAATTTCTAGAGTAAATTTTAATAATTTTGACTCGTTGTTGGATCGTATATCCTTACATGATGAAATGGCAGGCCTTACTGAAGAGAAATGTCAAAAGAGAATAAAAAAATATGGAGTCGTTTGCTGAAGAGACAAATGAGACTAAAAGTGCCAGTCGTAGTATGGTATAATGAGACTCTGATATTATGGGTGATCTGCTGAAAGATTATGGGTAACATTTACTGTTTTTTCATTACTTGGGTGTTTTATAAGAACTTTTGGCGCAGGTTCTACATATTTAGTGGACTGCAATCTATCGTTATATTAGAAATGGTGGCACCTTAAATTTTTGACAGAGCCAGGTGGTAACCAAGAGCAGCCTGCTCATGCCACAAACACACCCGAAAACTTTTCCTTGTGCTATCGGTTTGACTGTTATAATTAGATATTTTAACAAAACTACTGAAGATTTATTTACAGTAAGCACAATCCCACCCAACACTTTTTAGTTATTTTTCATTTCGCTACCGCAGAAGTGACGTGTGGAGCACTATGTGAGGGCCACACCTCAGCAACATTAATGCGCAAATCAGAATTAACACACTTCATAAGGTAAGAAGACCAAGTAAAAACAAAAGCAAGATAATAAGCAGAAGATCAAGCAGAATGCCTGATATGCGATCCAAACAAACAGTGCCATAAATTAAGTACGCACTCTTAGATGGATAGACATATACAAGTATACATAGGTATATTTACAACAACACACACTCGTACACATTTCTAGTAAAGTTATATAGAAATAAAGATGCGTGGTTTTATCGATCGGGCGTGCTCTAGATAACAGCTGCGCAGATCCGCTTGTAGTTCGCAAAATCGATGAACATTTTTTGTTTAGCGACTGATTTATCGTGCATCTGGCCAATTTAGCTGGCGGCTGCTTAACGAATAAATACAATTAGCAAAAAAGTATTATAGTATACTACAACAAATTAATGGTGCCAACACCAACAACATTTGCCCAGCCAACATTCGCAGACCCAGCTAGACGCTAGTGAGTTAATGAACTAATTGCCACCGACGCCGATTGCTTAGGCCGTTCAAACGAGCTGATTGCAGAAAAAAGAAGCTAATGAACAAAAAATATGTAAGGAAACATTAAATAAATACCCTCTAGGAATAGTCCGTTTCAATATGGAATGATTATTGATTTCAGAATTTATACAATTGTGAAGATTTGAACCCAGAGCCTTATAAAACTCAACTCAAGAGTTTTAGAGTTTACAACAGCGCACCAACTGTGCTTCCCCCTGATTCTTCCAAAGGAGTTGAGGTCTTCTACTTCCTCTGCTTCCCCCGCGCGCACCCATCTTAGAGCTGGAGTGTTTTCATCGATTCGGACGACATGGCCTAGCTAGTGCAGCCACTGTCTCTTAATTCGCTGATCTATGTCTATGTTTCCAATGCGCCATAAATCTTCTGCAGAACCTTTCTTTCGAAAACTCGTAGCGCCGACTCATCAGATGTTCTCATCGTCCATCCTTCTCCACCATATAGCAGGACGGGGATGAGAGTTTGGTCTTTGTTTGTCGAGAGCACTTTTCTTGTACTCGATTAGGCTCTGCAGCTCGAATTATTTTCTGCAACAATAGAATGAAGAAGTCGTATGATCTTGCGACTTTTAGTCTAAAACCACGTTTGGTATCGAACAGCTCGGAGAGATCTTTCTATTCTACGAAAAAAATTTATGGGAATTGCCGCAAAAACTATAAAGAACTCTCGGCTATTATATTCTTACACTTCAATTTAGCTAAATTATTTCAAACGTAATTCTTTATTGAGATTTCATCTGATTAAAAATATTAATTTTACATTTGATGACCAGTAAGCAAAGGTTGATGTGATTTTATTCGATTTGTATCAAGACGGAAACCATGGAGTATGAAAATCATTGGTAACTTAAGATAAGTATAAGGTGTTGTATTGTTCAATTGCTGTTTGTTAGCTTCGGGTAGCAGTAACCCAAATTACTTACATTGTGTATGGCTAGAAGTACCATAGAGTAAGCAACATAAACTACCCAATTTTCATAATAAGTGCTTATTTCGTATATAATGCCTCGGCAGAAGGCTCCAAAAAATATGCCGAGAAAAACTGATTACGATAGTAATTTCCTTAATTCTTGTGTAAACATATTATAATTAAATTAATATTTTAGTATATATTATTGTAGTGTATCTACATATACTAGATATAAACACTTGAGAACTGTTACAAGGTTTTCTAGCCGCATTGTGGCTGCTGTTGACTGGGTCGTTGAAAATCACACTGTGCTGTGATATTTTTCCAGCTTGGCAGCGGTTGTTAGGCGTGTTCATAATATTCAACCACATTTCCATTTTTGATAGAAAAATGTATACAAATACATATTTGCTAGTTTAGATTTGGAACATTTCCATTTATACATGTAAATTAGAGTGAATTATGTAAGTTTATATTTTTGCTTTTTAATTATTTGTGTTTATACGGTTTTTTATTTGAAGATTCAGAAGATTTTACGCAATTTTCATTCGGCATAACTTAAATACATGTCTGTGTATCAGAATTTRTATACAATATTAATTAAACGAAATGTTTATTCGAAAGATTTAGGCATATTTTCTAAAAAAAAATGTTACATTACCGACATGTGTTGTCCGACTGCCAAAAAAAAATTAAATTAGGAAGGTTATCGAATAAATAAACCGTCTTGATGGGCTTATTATTATTTTGTTTAATTTTCGGCGGGCAAAAAACACACAGAAGGTCGAGGGTTTAAAACCAAATCGGCGCAAAAGTTACAAAAAAGAAATACCGATACTATCGGCAGTTGATATCGTAACTTCTCATAAWATTGCAAGTATTTTTTGTCAGATGAAAAATTTGGTAATCCTATATTCGTCGGAAAACTTGAAGASGAGCAAATTAATAATTCGAAAAACATCGAAAAAGTGGTAAAAATTTATCGAGCAGGGATAGAATCATAGCTAAGCTCATATATTTTTACTAAGCTTGATAAAATTTGTGCCGAACAGGTGTTTCGAGATGAACATGAATGCTAAGTGGAGGCCCGGCAAATCGAATTTAGACCTTATTTAATTTGTTCTGCTAAAGAATCAACCTTCGCAAGTGTTTCATATTTACATATACTCTCTAAAAACGGTTTTAGTTCTAAGAAGATCTGAGTACTGTGATATTAAGTGGAATGGACTTAGAAATCCTTTTGTGTTCACAGCTCCATTATGAACTCAGTTCAGCTACAATAGGCTATTCTGAGAGCGGAAGTAGCCTAAATGCAGGTAATGTTAATCGAATATGCAATAGAAAAGTTTTAAAGGCAGTGAGATAATGCTAATAACAGTTGCTCCAAGCAAAGGTACTTCTATAGTCTCTTTTTCGACAGAACACACGTCAGTCACGTGTCAAGCTGTTATTTTATTTTTGTTTAGTATTGTTTGACATTTTATCACGGAAAGATTTACACCTGAACAACGTTTACAAATCGTTCAATTTTAATATGAAAATTCACGTTCTGTAAAAAATATATTTCGAACACTTCACTCATCTAATGGCCAACATAATCAGGTTACTGAGCAACACCATCACCAATCTTGAGACCCAGCACTAATTATTGGATAATGTTCGACAGTATAGACCACGTCCAGCACGCAGTGAAGAAAATATATGTATAATAAATAATATATGCCCATTTCTGGCTCAATGGATATGTAAAAATGCATAATTGCCAGATTTTAAACGAAGGCAACTTGAAGAGATTCAAGAGCTGCTGTTTCTTCAAAAATGATACCGATGAGAACGTAACTGTTAATGGTGACCATTATCGCGTCATAATAATTGAAATGCTCGAACGAGTCACCGAAAATGGGACTCAATGGCCAACATTTGAAAAAGATAATCTTCAAAAATAAATGCTTAAAAATGTTCTTTCGAATGATAATAAACATTCCCCATTAAATTTGAAGTTTATGTGTTTTTTCTTAAAAAAAAGTAAGAAACCTCGAAATGGATCACCCTTTATATAGCACAACGATCAAATTGTAATTGCATACATACAAAGGCGAGCTTAAACGGAAATAATTTTTTGTTTGTTTATAAATTTTAACTTTAATTGTTTTTGTAATTTCTTGCTTCTTTGGGTTTTCAAAGTTTTGAGGAAATTTTCACTAAAAAAGGACACAGCAAATGCACAAAACAATGTGTTAACAACCATTCATTCAGAAAACAACAGAATATGATAAACAAATAATAGTTGACTGAGCAAAACCACTAAATTAGCTGAAACTTCAAGCTTTGCGTGGGTGAAAGACCTGACTGCCTAGGTAGCTGACAATCAAGTTCGTTGGTATGTATCACGTCATTTTCAGCGGCAACAAAAATACACGTAATAAATAAAATATTTCTTGTAAGTTGTTTATTTGAAAATCACATAAAGCTTTCGAAGAATCTCAAGCGTGGGCTGTAGCTCCGGCGAAATTTGCATAAATCGCATAAAAATCAATGACGGGCATCAAATGAAAAATGAAATTGATCTCTTTACAGTCAGTACTGATGTGGGTGCACACACATGCATAAGTAAGTGCATGGTGGAGAGAGAAGATCACAAATTTTTGATAATTTTAATTGATTTTTAGTCTTTGGCTGGAGAAAGAATTCATTAAAAATTTAAATGTTATGCGTCTTTGGCTCCTGTGCACAAGTGTAGCAGATCTATTCATAAAAGTAATAAAATTTGCAGAGGGGAGACTCTGGCAGTGACGAATTATTGAAAAGTAAGGCGGAAGAAAGAACTGAAATTGAAGTTAAATGATTTTGTGAGATGAATGAGATGTCATTAGGTTTAAATTTAGTAAAAAGCGCTACAATTTTGATGCAGTAAATTTTACCTGATGCCAACGTTCGTTTTCCTAAACTCTCTTGACTACATTGACTTCCCGAGCTGCCCAATTCGAACTGAACTTTGTGATATACATATGTATAATGATACATTGATTATCGATTGTGTTGTATAATTGATTTAACTGTGGTGCCTCTACACTGCAGAGCAGTACAAAAAGTTCTTGGAATGCTTTGTGTGTAGGATGTGGTAGCGGTTTATGTTTTGGTAAGGATACTTTTAATTGTGGACAAGGTTTGGAATGGAAGCAGAAGGAGACTAATAGATTGGCAGTATGAATCAGAAGCGTGAATATCACATATAAATGTTGGTATCTGCACCCAAACTAGAAGTGGGCTGAAATTTAGTTCTTAATGAGAATAGTTTTAAGTTGCTTTTGTCGGTAAAATGCCTAGATTATTAAGGTGCAGTGAGCCGATATGAGAAAAAAAAAAATAAGATGAGTAAGAATAATAATATAAATATAGACAAAGTTCTGCCACGGTTAATTCCAAGCTCGTATTGCACTCGAACAACATATTCAGTGTCCTGCTCTAAAATTTTCCTGCAGTCTTCTCGTTATGTCAGCCTCATGCTGCGGGCTTGTGCCGCCACCAGACAGTGACCACTTTGTCTTCCGATCATGTTCCTACATTCTCTTCTATGGAGTGCTAATAGGAATTTTGTGTACATGACTTTTGCAGTCCTGCACCCAGGTAGCTCGTTTCATCCACTTTTTATCCATCCATTTCTGTCGAGATCGTCGTATAGACAAAACATGGGTTTGCTAATGTTTATCGAGATCGAGACCATTGGCAATCCCGTCCACTATTTCATTGCCCTCGATGCCTTTGTAGCCTGGCACCCGGTAAAAGTTAACTTGCTTACTTTTGGGAACACTTTGCAGTGCTGCCCTGCCTCCCAATACACTTCTGGACGAAATGCGATTGGAGGTTAATGCCTTGATTTCTGATTAGATGTCTACGTAGATACTGACTGTGGCATTGCCTGCAGGAGCAGTAAAGGCCAGCTCCGCTACAAAGACCTCAGCTAGATGCCTAGTTGTCCGGCCACTTAAAGTGTTGCCTTATACCGCTTCTCCATACACATGGTCGGACAAAGATGTTTAAATCGACTCAGCTTTTCAGGCTGATCATCGTTGTAATACTATAAGTGAGTATTTGCCGTTCCGTCGAAAATGAGTAGGTGCATTATTAACTGCTGATCAAACCACAGAGTTCTAAAACCAAATTAAATATTATTGGCGTGCATTATTACATAATTAGTTATTGTCATGATCGATGAATATGAGGAGCTATGACTTAATACATTTTATGACTAAGTTACACAACTTTTTCTTCGCAAAATAATGATGTAATCAAACCTCTTGTAGGCAAAATTACATTGTGTAAACATATTGAACGTGTATTGAATTAATACATGGGATAATATTTTGCAAAAAAAAAAAAAAAAAATCAAAAGAGCCAAATGTGGAGCATTTACGTACAGACATAAGTACAGAAAGTAATTCAAATGTGCATGCGAAGGCATATAAATCTATATATGTACATATGTATATGTGTATCACGTGAATATATACAAATAAACTTATATATAGTAACATGTGTGTACACACATATATATATTTCAAAGTTACCTTCATAACCTACCCTACAGTAGTTCGGCGCACATGTGTGTTGCTTACCAATTACGTCATATGAATTTTAATTGAATTGGAGCAATATACATATAAACGTGTTTGTAAACAATGAGTACACGCATGAGCGCACGTCTTAAAGAAAATGTGCAAAGACCAAAACAACAGAGACCAAAAACTTGGCCACGGAACATTACAATAGTGCATATGTATGTACATACATATGTGTGTAAGTATGTATTTTTTGGTATGTAATGTGGCATAGAATTTATAGAATTTTACTTAGAATTTTTAAACACTCATATGCACTTTCGGCTTTGCACTCGCATTTTGCAAATATATCTGTACAAAGATACGGCGGCGTGTTTGTGGCTACTGTAATTGTCTTCAAGTGGAAATCAATTAATGCATTCAAGCGGCAAACTTCAAAGCCATGAGCACAACAACACAACAGCAATCGGTCAGATCGATCGATCGCTTGTTAACTTAATCAAAACCGCTTAGTCTCCACTCTGCCGCAGGGCATTTTAGGCTTTGATGCTCGACATGTGTGCATTCACTTAGAGTTGTGTGCATTTATGGTCAATGATTTTTATACACTCGCAACAATGTTGCTGCGAGTATTATAGCTKTGCTCACATAACGGTTGTTTGTAAGTCCTAAAACTAAAAGAGTCAGATATAGGGTTATATATACCAAAGTGATCAGGGTGACGAGTAGAGTTGAAATCCGGATGTCTGTCTATCCGTCTGTGCAAGCTGTAACTTGAGTAAAGATTGAGATGTCTTGATGAAACTTGTCACGAGAGAGTATAAAATGTTCGGTGACAAACGAACTTAGCCCTTCCTTACTTGTTACAAGTAAATTACTGAAAAGTCAATTAATGTGCAAAAAATAAGATTGCAAGTTGTTGTGGGTATGAAAAAGGACTATTTTTTGGTAATAACGGAATGTAAGGAAATTTTGTAGGAAATAAAGTTGTGCAGAAATACAATAAAATCTTCGTGAAATTATTAAATACACTAAAATTAAAACAAAAAAATGAAGTGTTACTGAAAATTAAGTCACATTGGGCGAGTTTAAAATATTTGTTTTTTCCGAAAATTTCAGTATTTCTTTATTAATATTGTATGTATGTAACAATGAAAAATCTAATAAAAATTTTTAATTTTTTTATGAAAAAGAAATTGTTGAAAAAGGCAGTTTTTTATCCGATGGAACCCATGTAGCCCTTTAAATATCGCTCATACGCAGCGTACATACAATCAGATAACTTGACTGAAACACAGTATACATAAAGAAGATTATGTAGCAGGATATACCTACATACATTTATGCCTAATTTCTGATAACGCTTGCATATATATATGTAGTTATAATTTTATGTGAATCAGCTGTGGGGAGCATTTTAAGGGAAATTTCCGAAAAATCTATTTTTTTGTTGCTTTATCGGATAGTATACACTGTAATAAACATTCTCTCAAAATTTAAAAGCGAATACGGTCACTACATCGTTTCTTGTAGAAAGGGAACAGAGTGGAGAACGTAGCGACTCCAATCTTTAAATCTCCCACATCTGGGCTGTAGGGCTACTGCGGAAGGGGGTGTGAAGCGCGGCGTTGTTGTAGTACAACTTCCAATCGGCTGTGATGTCTTGTCGAACCCGATTGACCCTTCGTTTGAATCTCTTGAGGCCCTGCACGTAAAATTTGGCATTGGCGGTTTGTCCAGGAGGAACAAATTCATGATGAACGATGCCTTTGATGTCAAAAAAGATAGTGAGCATTGTTTTCACTTTGGATTTGCTTTTTCTTCCCTTCTTTGGGTGAGGAGACGCCAGCGTGTGAAACTCGGAAGATTGCCTACTCAAAGATCCATGACCCGTGATTACGTTATTTATATAGATTTATCGAGTTTCACACAGAATTTAATCGTCTACCTCTGCTCTAACGAACGCTGCATTTTTGGCTTGCACCACTCACAGAAACACGTCGCGCCAAAATGTTTGTCCTGACTCTCTAGGGCTCGGAGAAAACTGACCAGCCGCTCGTTCATTAGCTAGCAACGCCCTTCTAGTACAGAAGTACAGCCGCGGCGGAAGAAAATCAATCCTATTACTTTTACACCGCCAGCTTGATAGCAGCCACTTTTGCCTAAAACACTATAGTGATCCGGTTGCCTAAGGTAAGATCTACGGATAGCTTACTACAGAAAACCTTCCTCCTATACCGACTTCTCTCTTCCACATATCGCTCTTCTGCAAGTGATTAGAGAAAAAGCCGTCACGAGTGGCCTTTGCGACGAGGTTCCAAGTTTTTGGAATACAGTTGATTGTGAAGAGAACTTCAGAGAATTACTATAGTCAACAATTTAATTTTTATATTTAATAAAAGTAATAAAATAAACAATACTGTTTACAGATAATTTATGTATACATATAAGTATGTATGTAAAACCCTACATATATCTATCTCGCTTAGTTTTAGGTCATGCGTACTTCGTAGGTTTCGAGAATATAAAAATTATTGTAAAATGACTTGTAAAATGAGGTTCAATGAGGTTTCACACACACATTTTATTTATTTGTTAATAGGTTATTGTCATAAAAGCTTCTACATTAAAAGAGTCATGTTTTTCAAAAATAGCAATACTTGTTTGAAGAACAAAATTTATGCAAAAATGTTTGGTAGTTTACAAATATTGCCTTATAATTAAAAATCTTACTAATCGATGAGATCATTTAGCTAGTGTGGAAGCCATAAGCGATTTAGGTAAGACATCTTACACATGTGGCTAAAACATGAATTCCAGAAATCTAGCAGTTGAAACAGATAGATGTTGAAATCAAAATTTGTACAAATACTTATAAACACATACATATGTACCGTCAGGCACAGGTTAAAAGGTAAACATAGTTGGTTGATTTTAATATACAATATTGAATATATTCACACTCTTTTTCGAAAACTTTAATTTATTCGCCGGTATTTCTGCAGCAAGCACCATGAAAGGTAAGCTATGCTTGACCGGTTATTGAATTGGCTGTTAATGAATGTGGTTGGCCGGCTGCGAGTTTGACTGTGGCGCCACCGAAAAGTAGTCAGCTACATAAAATAATATAAACAAATTTAGGTTTGAATGCACAAAATATTATTTGAGTACTACACTTCTGATGAATACTTAATTTTGCATAAATGTATGCAGAAATCATTATAAAGTCATTAGGGCGCACAATAACTCAAATAAAGCTCGTAAGCTAAAAATAATTTCCATTAAATTTGAGTCTAAAATATATGCACATACATACTTATGTATATATATGTATATAAAGTGTAAAGATTAGACA